CGTTAAATGGATATCTAATCAGTTAAGTGACGTGTTCCGTAGCGAAATCGTCTGCATATACGCAACAAATGAGCATCTACCACTGCACCCAATTATTTTTATTCAGAAATAAGTACATATCCTCTGCCGAGTACGTTCAACTTACAGAGCACAAACACCTCACAAAATAGTTTTTTTTTTTCGTGTTTCAAAGTATTAGCCGGGATAAAATGGTTGACATGATTCTTTCTTTACTGACTTTACCAACTCCCAAACAACAAAAACATCAAATGGGCAAACAATTACGTAAGTATGGTTCTTACAATTCAGTTGCGTAGTTTTAACCCCTTAAATCACGGTGTGTCAACTACTTTAACATTCAGTAACACTACAGTTTGCCCATAGAGTGTGTTTACGGATTTCATACTATTCTCGAAATAAACAGCTATTATTTCCCTCAACAGCATTAACCAACTAAATTTTGTAATGCAGACGCGATGTTTCCTTTGTGGTAAAAATGGATTTTTAGATAACATACTTAGATTAATTTTCAGGTTTCTACGTACTCAATTCCACTCCTGCGCAGGACCATTTGAAAAAAAAATCAGAAACGAATATGAAAAGCAGGCACATTCATAACGTGTCACAATTGCAATCCTGAAACTCGAATTTTTTCAACGATTTGTGACCGTAGGGGTTTATTCATGTCGCAAACAAGACAACTACGGCAAGGTTCTGTCAGCTGCACAGCAGCGCTAAGGCAAATCAAAAGCTGTGCCTCCCGTTTAAAATTCTGTTCCAGATTTCAGCGGTCACTGTTCACAGCAGAATGTCAGCAACTTAAAGACGCTCTAAAAAACATAAAAGGCTAGTATATTTTTGTTGCATTCGCCTGTGTAAGTAGAAGCCGTGCGATGTGACTTATTTCCTACCCAGAATACTACTTAATGACAAGGATTTCACATTTTCACAACCAATTCTGAAGAAACCGAGACCTAATAAAATGAAATCTGAGTAAGACAGATAAATAAATTAATGACTTATGAAACAGTGTTCTATTCCATGTGTGTTGCCCTCATGCAGTGTGCTTGCAGAACAATGCTTTCACTTTAAGAAATAAATTCACAGGCATATTTTATACGAAGCTTCGGTAAAGTTGGAATGCTTGGTCATGTAACGAGGCACCAATGATGGACGACGGTCTAGAAGAAGAGATGAGAGTTAATGACTGGGAAGAACAGAGAGAAATGGTGATGATAACAAGAAGAAGAAAGATACCTGAAGTACATCAATCCATCCATCCATCTTTCTACACTTGAATTCAACCAAGACATAGAAAATATAAGTTAGGAAATGCACGCATAACGTAAAAATTACGGCATCTTCACTACCATCGTCCTTTCAACATTTAACCTAGGCAACGACGGTAACCATAGTAACCAAGATGATGGCCTGGAGATTCCCCACCCAGTCACATCGGCGCGCGGGAATAAATGTAGGTCTTCGTGCAAAGTGGCCCTTATTTTTGTCCGCTCTTAACCAAGACTAGATGTATCGACAAATTTTAGTAAAACTCCCTAATACCAAACATAATAAAATTCCGTTCAGTTGTTATCAAGTTGTTTCATGCGTACAGAAGGGCGGATGGCATTTGCAATGCGCCTAATAACATTTTTTAACGAGTTTAGAATTTGCTGTCTGCATTAACGAAACAAACCAACGACTGAAAGACATCGATTTCTTTTCTGGCATGTTTCTCGTAAGCAGAGCTTTATTTCTAATATATTATCACGCGACCTTACAAGATTTTCGATCGACATTGTCGATATTAACACGTACTTGCCGAATCACATAAATCGATCATGAAATGTCGTCGAACTCAATCAGAGAAAAGATAAATTCATATCCGGAGTACACACAGGCATATTTTTGAAATACGTTCGTCTCACACTGGCCTCTGACGCATAGCAGACATGAGAAGCGTAGAGAAAACTGAAGTCCGAAAACACGAACGGAGACGAGCTTGGAAACGTAAGCGTATATGGATGATAATATTAAAATTAATCCTAAAGAAACATGTGAGGTTCTGAAATAGATTCATGTGACTAAGAATAGGGACCGGTGGCAAGCTCTTCTGAACACTGTAGAATAATAAACCTTAGGTTTCTACAAAAAACTGAGATTTCTTGACCAGCTAGCGACTATTAGCTCCTCAATACGACCCTGCTCCATGGAGTTAATACAAATTTATATGAACCATCACATCGGTTACGATAGTACAAGGATAAAATTGCACCCAATTAAGTCATTGTTGCACTACGTTACCAAAATCAAATTAAATGCATTTGGAATGACTGTTACGTGTTCTATTTGTGTTGCAGAGTAGTAACATTAATAAACATTGTAAACATGAAACTGTATTTTGATTTGACTCCAGTGTGTTCATTGAAATGGTTCCCGCAGAGCAGTTGCTAGAACGTAGTTCACAATGTAGGTCAATGACTTAAATCGCTAGCCTCTATTTTATAAACTTTACTTCATTTGCTTCTACGGCGTACTGATACATGAGTTTATATTCAATTAATAAAATTAAATTATTTTGAAAATAATGGAAATTTCATAACGAATAATTACAGGACGCAGGTATTGCGAGACAAATATTTCCTCATTAACTTCAATTAGTGCATAATTTCTCTGACAAACTGTTAGGTGACTTCGCTTAAGTTTAATACAACTTGGAAACATATTATGTCAACTCAAAAGCAAAACTTTCTAATAAGTATCGCAGGCTTACAACACATTTACAGTAACATAAACTTATGTTATCAAAATTGCTCTTGCAGATTTTACGTATTTAAGGCAACGTGGGATATAAATTCCGATAATTAATTAAAAATAAATAATCATAATATATACATTAACAGCGTAACTTAGATAAGTACAAGTACACAAGCCCTTCTTGTCGATTGTAATAAGTATACCTGAACTAACCGAATCCATGATCAAAATCGTTTCTTTAAAAGCTAATAATTTCCAACCAACAGTGGGTTAACCCACAAAATTGGAAAATTTGGAATAGTGAGAAACATATGTCACCATCAATCTGATTTTATAGACACGCGGGGTAAGTCACATATGGTTTGTTATTTTTAAATCCGTGTCTTTCAGAATCTTGCAATGTGGAATCAGAGTAACCACGTTCAACTTTAATTCCGATTCCCTCAGTTTTTAAAAGTTTAGCTCACTGTCGCTCCAGGTCTTCAAATTTTATTCGAAAGTACGTTATACGTTCAGATTTACAAAAAGTCAATGATTTGGAATCTCGCCAAAATATCTTATTTTTCAAATCAAATTTCAAAATATTTAACTCAGTACAACTATAATAAATCGGACGTATTTCACAATCGCTTATCAAACTGTTATTATGCTTGTTGTAATTCACAGATACTTGAGGAACGTTTCTGTGGATGGAGATCACCAGGCGACGACCCTAGAATTCAACCAAGATGGACGACTGAGGGCAGCAGAATTGATCATCGTGAACCTCAGACCAGGGCATGGAGCTACAGCCAACAGCCGTGTGTGGGAACAGGTTAGCATAAAAGCAGTATTGCCAACAGCAGGTCAGAGAATGTAACCTCCAGTAACTCACAGATTACTTATCTCTTGAGTCTAACAGTTCATTCTGTTGTCGTCATCACGAAGGTAGACCACTGCTTCATCCTAACAGTTCACCTTTTTCAAATAAATTTAAACTAACGTTTACTCCGAGACTAGAAAATTTCCGGATCAGAAATAAAGCCCTTAACTGAGAACCAAGCGTTATGATAATGTGCCTCAACGGTGGAAAATAAAGAACTTAAAAACTGAAATTAAGTTATGGAAGTGGCGATTCTCAATTTCGCATTACGAAACTTAAGAATAAATTTCTGGTTTATGTGTTTGTATGCGGCTTTCCTCTAACTTCCATGAATTACCTACCGCGAATTGTCTATTGAGAAAAGACACAAATATTCCTACTTTTAAACAAAACTTGAATTAATATTAATGACGTTTCTGAGTCGTGTGACGAAGTCCGGCGGATAAACGTAGGTGAAGACCATACTTCCCTTACTTCTCCGTGTGATTACAAATGACTGGAATTACGACTCCAGTTGTAAGTTTCCATCACTTCCGGTTTGGAACTCAGAATATTTCAAGCGCTTCACTTTGCTGAATAGAGACTGCATACAAGCTGCTAAAAGCAGATCTGTTTGCAAGAGCTAGAAGGAAAGTCGTGGACTGTAGCCAACGCAACACCAGGTGACATAAGAAATATTTCACATTACTTTAGCGATGAGAAAACTTCTACTTTTAAAAGACTGAGAGAGAAATGAACGCTTTTGTATACAACACCTGCGAAAACTGAAGCTGCAGCCAACAGCATGTAAAGAGGAAAGGCCTCTTTTTCTATCTCGAATTTCTCATTACCAACCTTTCCGATGTATTTCTCTTTCCATGCTCTCTCAAATAGTTTATTTTCCTCGTTCACAAGCGAACTTCAAACATCTCTTACAAGGCATTTCAAGATAGCTGATTTCCTTGCAACATAATTTATATCTCAAATGTATGTTTTCATTATCCATGCTCTAGTCGGTATACAGAATATGCTGCTATATAAGACAGGATAGCCAAAACCAAGTGTTGCAAAGAAATTTAGTTAGTGGCTTATACTTTCAAAATTCTTTCCGGACGTGTATGCATCATTGGTTTGGATGTAAATATATTTCAAATACATGGAAAGGCATATACTACATTATTATTAAACTCAATTCTCATGGTATGCATAATATAACTTGTAACTTAAAGAAAATGTTATTTGAAAAACTGTACTGTGTTAGGGCGCATGCGTGTGTGTGGTGGAAACAATCTATGTTAGCTGGAGGTCTGTCTGAAACAGACCGACGTTTCAGAGGTGCTTACTGTCATCATTATGGTTAATAATGTATTGATGTTACAAAATTGTCAGTTTGTACAGAGATATTTTATTTAAAATCCCGCGCACCAGGGCAGAATGGTAAAATGCAATAACATTTAATAAAAAATACCGAAGTAACAAAAAAACCAACACATCCAGGTTATATGAGGACCTGGAAGAGTCAATGTAATTAGAGTGAAATGTATCAACTGCACAGAGTACCCCGCCGGGTTGGTACACTGAAACGTAACAGAGTCGGTTCGTGTAAAGGCCTGGCATTGGGTTTAGGCTGAAATAGAAACTGAAAAAAAAACACGCGGTCACTTAAAAAGTTACTATCTGCACGGCTGTAAACGAATTAGTTGATGAGAATGGTAGTAAAATGTCAAAGAGTTAAAATAAGAAGGCTGTTCTATAACCTCAAACTGCAATTGACTCTAAAAGGTCAGCGAGAAATATACTAAAACCTTGCGAAATTAAACTGGAAAGGAAAATATCTGCATGCAAGAAATAACAGTACAACACAGGCTGGAGAAAGAGAGATTAATAAGCAAATTTGTGACTTAGTTAGATGCTTTAATAAGGTTACGACGTGTTGAACTTGTAGCATCGAGGTATAGAAAAGAATCTTATGAGGCAAAACATAATATAAAGCGTCTAATTGAAGCAGAAACAGAGAGATTAAGTAATCCTTAGGGAAATCTGTTTAGAGGCGTGCCCTGTGTTTAAATGACTGAAGGAAAGGGCCTAAAAGAGGAGTTTGTTTTACGATAGTAGAATTTTCGAGTTAGAATACCAGACATTCGTTCAGTTTTTTATCTGCCTCATGAGAGACAATATTCGGTTAGGTATAAACTCCACCACTAACGATCCAGGCTTGTGGCAAGTTTCCCTACTGTACAAAAATACAACGCGCAATATAGAAATAAAAAAGTATTCGCTACAAAAATTAAATGAATTTATCATCCCAAAATGCCTGAGATATTTCTGTACTCCAGTTTCTGCAAACTCGTTAACATTGTTGTCAAAATTTCACGTTCCTGAAAAATTGTATTCGGTTGTTTCAAGGGCTCTCGCATATTTTAAAAGTTACATAATTTAGAGTTAGTTCATACTGCAGAAACCATGCTAATAATTAATTAATTAATTGAAACTACACTTTCTAAGTTGAGTAATGTACAGCTGTTCAGTGACCGGAAATCAAGAGTAACGTTTATGTACGAAAATTAAACGGTAAACTGCTGCACTTTCTGTAGGTTTTCGACTGAACCCCAATAGTCCGGCTTGTGAGACAGCTTCAAAAATCAGCTAATTGTTGGGTGTGGACTACAGATTTTATCAATTCAACAGTTAAGATCGAATCGAACTACGACCAGGGGGGGGGGGCGAACTTCACATTGTTATAGTTAACACTCTTGATTTCTACAGATATTTCATGGTTTACTTCAGTCCCTCCCTTAAAATAAGTCACGATCAATTCCTCTTACACCACTTCCAACGTTATTCATCATCATCATCGCATTATCTGACGTTATATTAACGATACGATTTTAGAAGGCGTCGTTAAACCTGCGAATATATATATACAGATGAGAGCATAATATATAAATTGCCTAGCGACTGTGCCAATATTTCCGGATCTTGTTTCTGAGATCATTCTCAGTCACAAATGTCGTTAAAGCAGGAGTCCGATTATCAACGGTTATGTAACTATGGATAGGAATTCAAGATGATTACAAGACATAAAAGAGGATTTTAAATGTGAGATTTCAAGTTCTCACGGCGGTAAATATGAAGGTGACTGTCTTCTGGGTTTTTGTTGTCGTCGTGTCATGTATGTTTACCGACGTTTCTGAGATACTTCCTGCCTCCATGTTCCTGCTTCCACTGATCACCCTAATGATGGAGTAATCTTCACGATTACAAATCTACTTCAAGGATGACGGGGTACCCCACAATTCAAACGACACGTGAAAACGTATAGACATACTTTAGGAAGCTAATAGGACTTCCTGTTTTTCACTTCGTTGCACAAGACACAGTTCACTGTAGTCTACTGTAGTTTTAAACAATTCGGGACCCCTGCAGTACTTTTTAAATCTCTTAGGTATAAACGAAATGGTAAAAACTTGTGCCTGAAACTATACTTTAAAATCGAATTCGCATAATTTCATATTTAAACATTGTAACGTTATCGATCTCTCGCTAAGCACACACAGAGGGACACAAGAGTTTAGAATTCAATTTAATTTTATTTCTGCTTTACTTCACAGATCGGGGTGTGGAAGTCATGGGAGAAGGAGGGTCTGGATATAAAGGACATCGTGTGGCCAGGAAACACACACACGCCTCCCCAGGGAGTGCCAGAGAAGGTCCATCTCAAGATCACTTTCCTGGAGGAGCCTCCCTATATCAACCTTGCGCCACCGGACCCTGTCACTGGAAAGTGTACCCTCAATAAGGGCGTCTTCTGTCGACAAGCCAGCGAAATCGACCTTGAAGGGTAGGTACTGCATAATTAAAGTAATTATTTTGAGTTTATATTACTCCTGATTTATGTGATTTGTGACGTTCTTCGAATGGCACTCTGCAATGTCTATTGTGTAGCTAACAAAAACCATATCAGTCCCTACCTCAAAGAAAACAACCCGTAACCATTACAAAGATCAGATGTTTAATGCTGTTGAAGTAAATTTTACTCTCAGAATCATACGGAACTTATAAATACGCTCTGTGGCCAAAACGCACAGTTACTAATTGTTAAAGGTGATTGTACATATGACTATCACTAGGTTTTAAAAAGTTAATTTATCAGCTATAAGCTTAGATTTTTGTGTTGTCAAAACGTAAGTAATTTTAACATAATGGAGTGTATCATACAACATTTAAGCGTATAGTACCTATCACCATGCAAAACTTCACTTGCTTACTTCAAGCGGTTCATTACTTACTGCAATCAGACTGAAAGTTAAATACATATTTCCTGCTGCTACCATGTTAGCATTTTATATTTTCCAAAAATATGGCATTGACAAAAGCTGAGTGATTCTCGAAAAATTACAACCACAAAACGACATTACCTTATGTTAAGTGGCAGCATCGTTGCTAAAACGTTAGAAGTTGGCATGGTTGCAATAGTTTTAAGATTGCAAGACATTAAAATGTACAGAAGTGGAGCAATTGCTAGTGGCATGATACAATGTCAAGTTTTATAAAAAAATCGATCTCTTCATTCAAAATGTCATTAGGGAGGGCAAATACGAACATCGGCTAACACAGGAGCACGATAATAAAAAATTTGTTTTCTTGTAAAATAAGGAAAGTAGGCTAACAATGGGAAATGCCAAACAAAGAACCATAAATTTTAGTTTCATCCCCTTTCATAAATTTCACTGAATATTACTTCCATATTGTTGTTGTTATTATTATTCACTTAATTATTAAGACAAAAAAACTTGATTACACCGGTTCTTAACCTTTTAGAAAAGTAGATCAAATTATACATAATACGCATACACAATTCAGAAGTCCATAGCAGACGTCTTCACCGCCCTGAAAACCTCAAATTTCGGAGAGAACATAAGTTCAACAGACTTCTGTTCAGTGAACTCACGAACTTTAATTTTTTTATTGTTCCTCTTATTTTAGATGTGTCAGAAGAGTTACAGAGTTTGCAGGAACTGTCATGATATTTTACACATTCAAATGAGCGAAATGAACTCAACGATTCGTAAATAAATAGTGACTGTTCCATTTACAATCTTTCTCTCCTCGAAATGCAAAAATTATCCTAACACAGAGACAGTCTACATTTTACACCGTCAGACAACTTCCTTCAGATCGAACAAAAGTACAGTTGAGGTTATGTGACGGAATGAAATAAAAACTATCTTTGTTAATAACATAAACAACGGCAAGCCAAAATTAATTCTAATTGTTTCATCAAACAGCAAAGTTATGCATTTGACTGGCCGATTCCTGTCCATTAAGCCATAATTTCCATCGCAAAGTCAAAGCTGTCCCTGATGTTTAATTAAGCACCACAGCATGCAGATATATGGGAGAGTGGAGGTATAGCTCCACGCATTCTTAACTTCAGCACTATACCAATGTTCCGTAACAATACATTTGCTTTAAATTATATCCGCTTCAGTGAAATGTTTTTTTTTATTTACTGAAGTGGAAGTGACATAACTGAATAGTTGAATTACATACGAATTTAATTCTCATTTTAACCAGACAAAAGGTCTTTGTTTTGTGATTGTTGTTTAACAGAAGTAATATCTGCGCAGAAGAATGCATTTTGTATAGCTGGAAATGAAAAACCCGCATATAACACCTTTTGTTCCAACGAGTCTTCAAAGCTTTGTGACAATGGCCGAGTTATTATATAAATATTATCAAACAATAAACACTGAGATACACGCCACTTGGTATGTATGTACAATTCGATAGCTGGCTCTGTTCTTGTATTCAGGTGTGTTTACAAACGCCCATGATCTGCCCATGTCCTGAGCCACATAAACAGAATTCACGCACTCCAATACCATTTCCATCACATCAATTTTAACATTATTCTCCCATCTACACCTGGGTCTTCCGAGTGTGTGAAACGTACAACAAACCGAAAAATATTTCTAAGATAAATATTTGATACCACGATAAGTCGTTTTTTAAAATAATTATGAAGTTATACATATATCTCAAGTAAGTTTCACTGTACCATTATTTACCAGAAGCAAATTCACACAAATTTCGGTATACAACCAGGTAACAATTTATGAACTCTTTCGGGTATGCAACATGCGAAATTTGACTTCCCATTATGCATTAATTTCATGCACTTTGAGCGTACATGACGCCACATCATGTTTTCCAATTTAAACAAGAAGGGGTTCAGAGTTAATCACTTGACTGACATGTTTGAATATTCCAGAGTGGACATTCCAACAGCACACTTGAATGGCAGTTTCTATCAATGTTGCTCAGGCTTCTGCATCGATCTGCTGGAAAAGTTTGCAGATGATTTGGGCTTTACGTACGATCTCTTCCGTGTCGAGGATGGAAAATGGGGAGCCCAGAGCGTAAGTAAGAATGCATGTGCATTATTCAATAGACCGTACGCCTCTCATAATCTAATATTCTGCATGTCACAGTAGGTTTTGCACTCCTCTCTCTAACGCATGTAAAATTGTTTTAAATTTTTCACTTAGCTGAAGGAAAAATAACTTCAAGCGATTTATAAATTTCTGTCTGTGTTTGTCGTTAAAACGTACTGTTATTTCGACATTTTACAGGTAGTGTTGTATTTTAATAAAATAAATAATCCAACTTGTGATTATATTTTTGCTGTCAATTTATCTCTAAGGTTAACTATGTTTAAGACCACTCGAAGTCTGAGATAACAGACTGGAATCTCGTTCATAACAGGTAAATGATTTCTTACGTCTTGTCTCTCACAAGTGCTGACTATGCCATGGCTTGTTCCACCACCCAAGGAGTCCCACCGCTTACCTGGCTAAAGAAAACTCTACAATTCTGCATGTTTCTGCAGACTGAAATGAAATTTAGTAGGGAAGATCTTCACTCAATTTTACACATAAATCATTAATACTGTATATGTAGAGGTACTAGAAATTTTCATTAAACATTACGTATATGAAATTGAAAATATTTCGGATAACTAAATAAAACTATTGATGTAAGTGTTTTGAAAGAAATGTGTCAAATTTAAACCACACAAGAAATTGTAAACTATAAAACTAACAGAAAAAGTCGATAAACCTATACCAGATCGCCCATTACTCTCTTATAATTTTGTACTCCGTTGAGTAAACAACAATTTTTCATTTTCTCTGTTCTACATTCCAAAATTAAAAGAAAAATTGTCTATGTTACACTCACAGGACTTAAAATCATAATATTTCATACACAAATTATTACTTTTAAGCACCTCATTCGTTAGACCCCCTAGATATCTACAAGGGATCGCTAAACTTTATTTTTTTTCATTACCCAGACTTGAAATCTTTACACCTACAGACGAGAACAAAAAAAGGCACTTAGAAGCACTACGCTAATCTAAATAATATTTAAAATTCAAGTTTGTACCTCAAAGAGAACACAACAGGTCTCCAATACAAAGAAGATTAACTTAATTTTATTTCTGAAAATAATATTTGTTTAATCTGAGAATCATATGAAACCTATAAATACATGTTAAAGGCATAACGCAAAGTTAAATGTATATGCATATCACTAAGCTTTAAATAACACTGATAATCGGGAACACGTGTAAAAATTTTCTTATCCAGAATAAAGAAAGTTGCCTGATCAGAAATACGTCACAGAATACTCTGAGAGTTACTGATATTTCCACAGAACGGCCGTTGGAACGGGTTAGTAGCTGCCCTCATCAACCACCACGCAGATATGGTAATCACATCTCTCAAGATAAATTTCGAGAGATCGCAAGCTATCGATTTCTCGTTACCCTTCCTAGATACCGGAATTGCTATTGTGGTAGCCAAAAGAACTGGCATCATCTCGCCTACAGCATTTCTAGGTAAGTCATTTCTATTCGGTCTGTAGGCTTATCAAGAAAGATAATTCCTTTCAGCATTGCACATTAATGACACCAAAGTTTTATATTTAATACTAAGCGTGAGTGAGTATAAAACAGTGAAGGCTGTGTCTTTATTTCGCAAGAAACAATCACGAGTTTATTTGTAAAAGGGAATCAGCTTTTTAATTCTAAAAAACACAAATATATTCATAACATTTTCTGCTTGTAGCAAATTCATTAAACTTTCCTGCATTATGTATGCCTAGCAGTGCGCATTATTCATAGCTTTTCACGCAAACTGTTATAAGTGGCACTTCATATTAAAAGAGAAAGAGACCAAGAATAGACCTTTTAATCGACACTCCATCCTATCAGAAACTGCTCCATAACGAATTCGCAGCCCTGAGCCTGATATGAAACACTTTTGTCCGATTCCAGACACCTTAAAATTAAGCCACAGTCTTCAACAAAGATGTTAATACAACTTTTTAAAACTTTGTTTCGGCATGAGCAGGCATACCGAGCGATCCATAAGCGGAAACCCCTTCTTAACAAGGTTATAACTAACAATAGTAAAGCGAGAGGCATCAAATTGTACTATATAATACAGATTTAACCCTTCTGCAGACACAACTGCCTGACTCCATGGAGTATGTTTTTTTCTTAAGACTCTGATCTCATTGAAATCTGTCAGTAGACTGAGTGGCTCTTAAAATGAATCAAACTGATAAGAAATCAGTGTACGTTTAATGTACCAAGTTTGAATGAATTCGGTTAGACAGTTCGTCTCTGAAAGTCTGGCAATGATCTTGTATAGTTACTTTCTTTCCTCTGGATTTTATCAATCGTCTATTTGAAAAAGTTTTAAAAAATCTTTATAAATCACTACGTTTCTTCCTTTGTCTACAAATAAAATGGGGGAGACATCTATTCTGTTGAATCCAACAGATTGAGCTGTTCCCAATTCTTAATTAATTAAGATATCTAAGACTTTTCAAAAATATACGATTGATAAAGTCGGTCAGACAATTTTACAACGTAACCTAAAGACAGGTCCACGTCTATGAAAGCAGTAGGCTGGTAGTCTTATATTTTTTTTAAACGCACCTAATAACTCTCCCATGCAAAATTATCGATCTTACACTGCTACTCGCATAATCGAACCTCTGAATTCTACCCTGAACATGTTCAATTCACTTCAATGTCCATTTCCTCATTACGTACACTACTACTTATGGCTTCACTTCTTACTTCTTACTACCTATGACTGAAACTACAAAAGAATCTCTATTCATGAAATTCCCAGACCATAATGAATGCAGTTCCATTTTCTATTAGCATCAGTCTCTCTGATTGCCTTAAATTCACTTCGATGTATCCGTAATTTAGACCAGACTTCACACACAACGTCACGACTTTCCAACTGACTTAATTTTGTCATAAATACTGTGAAATAAGCAATGGAAAATTCTTTATATACTCATAGGTTCATTTAATATAAAAGTTGAAGTTTTCTAGTCTTTTTATTTGTTTAACGTAGAGAAAAGCTGGTTCTTCCACTTGAGTTCCATTTTGTAGCGACTTAGCTCAAACGCAGAAAATAAAGTTCTTTAACTTTGCATCAGTATTTACAGTGTGTGTGTTGGGGGGGGAAACGCAGAATCTACTGCTGAGTCACATCACTCCTGGATGATCACAGACACCTCTAAACGCTGAGATAGTACAAAGAGGCCACAACACAGCTCCAGCATAGGCAACATGTTCGACACGCATGTAGTCCGTGTAGTGTAATAAATATCTGCAGGAGAACATGTTAATTCTTTACGAAAGGCAAGTTTTTTTGATGCTTAATGCATTTCTATTTTACTATGTGCCTAAAATGCATTATGAAGAATATTAATAATAACAAAATTTGGGTTAGATATCCTGAAGGAAAGAGACCATTCAAAAGACCTAGACGTAGATGAGAGGACAATATTAAAGCAGATTTTTATAAAATTGATGGTACATGTAAACTGAATTCATCTGACTCAAGATAGAGATCGTTGTGGTGATGCACTCTTGTAACCACGGCAATGAACATTTGGGTTCCATAAAAGACGAAGAATTTCTTTACTAGGTGAGCCTACTAAGAGCTTGTCAGAAAGTATACATATACAGAATGTCCCAAGAATATGTATACACATTATAATAAAATGGCCGCTCATCAGTACGTTGCTAACCGCTGTCAACTGTGCCACGAAGCTAACGGTGGGCATTTTGAACACCTGCACTAGATTCGCTAATTCACTAAGTGTCAATTCTGACGTACGTTATAGTTTCGTTTGTTAAAGTGTATTTATTTCATTAACTGAATGTGCGCTTCAATCTTTTTTTGGGACACACTGTTGTTACGTGAATTTCGTGCTTCGATAGATTAACTGCAGTGATAAATCACAAATTAGTAGGAACTTTAACGTTGATGTGTTTACAATTAGGTGTAAAATCGTATTAAAACTTTAGACTGCCGGTCACCGGGTCCCAAACCCGACCCAAAACATAATTCGGCAGCAGTTAACACAAGCTACCACATTATTTTATTTTAAATTACACTCTGTGTTACAATGGTTAATAAAATAATGTTACGAGAAGGTTAATCGTTGTCGATGCATAACGAAAATTTGTGTTCCAACAAATTCAGCTTATGCTCAAACAGGTAAATTCTTCGACGGTTCGTAACAGAGCGCTTTTGATTAGTTAATTAACGCATAATCGCACTGCAAACAACTCAACAACGCATGAGTTACTGTGCAGAGCCCTTTATTAGCGTAATTAAAAGTTCAAAGTATCCCAAACCAATGTAAAATCAATTCATTTATTACTCAGATGTCACTAACGAAGTGAGTAGAAGAGGATTTACTATCGTTGTATAATTTAGATATAAACATTCCTAATGCGTTGTATGTCATTACAGTAGTATAATTATAATAATTACTCATGTCCTTATCTTCAACCCCGAAAATTCAGGTGATATGCTCTCTGAAAAGTTGGTAAACCCCCACGAAACTACATGATTATTTTAATCTTATCGCAGCACGTAAGGTCTTTACAAAATCACGTCACATTAAGGTGCTGATATGCTCCTCTGAAAAGTTGGTAAACCCCTACGAAACTACATGATTATTTTAATCTCATCGCAGCACGTAAGGCCTTTACAAAATCACGTCACATTAAGGTGAAATAATTTAATCTTATATTCTTTGTTTCAGAACCCTTTGATTCGGCCATGTGGATGTTGGTAGCCCTGGTTGCAATTCATGCTGCTGCTCTTACAATTTTCTTCTTCGAATGGCTTAGTCCATACGGATACGATGCGAAGGTACTTTTTATATCTTACTTTATCAGAAGAATCCTTATAAAAGGAGGGCCCTTCAGGACGGTCAAAGACTGCTTCTACTTCGTATTTCACTCTAAATTAATCATAACATGCTTCAGAGCAAGTGCTATGCGGAAATAAAATAACTTGAAGAAAACGAGATGAGATTCTCATGGCGGGGAGGATTTCGGTGTTTGTCTTGTAGATTGTAGCGACGTGTGGACCTGTAACTACCCACAAATCAACACAAATTTACATCTCAGAAGATCAACGACATTTAAAGGAAGGTTTGTAAATCATTCCTGAAACATTAGGTTTCAAAATTTGTTAAAGTGGGCTTCCGGTCAACGAAGTTAATTTTTACCCTAAGTTATTCTTAAACGAACGAGCCAGGATAAGTCGTACCAATTAAAGCCCATATAATGCATCTAACTCTGTACTCTTCACAAGCGTTAAAGTAAAATACCATTTTCTATAAATTTGTTTCTTGTTTATGCATATTCTGAAAATAATTTCACTGAAACATTGACATTTCCAAAGGAAGAATATAACCTGATAAAAGAACACTTAGTATCTATCTTTACAACTTTGTAAAATAATCTCGTAGAAACCAATAAGGACTTCGCAGACTGGAATGTTTTAGACAAGTTCTGATTTCAGGAATGTCTTCATTATACTAGCTAGGAACATTCCTTAAATTCCTACCGCAGAGAACTGATCCTTAATTTGTCTTCTGAAGTACGCCATATTTTACGTTCATGCACGACACGAAAATCTTACTTCATTTTAACAAACTTAAAATGCAACATTTATATGCACAATGAATCATTTCAAACCGTGATGCTGGATCTTCATGAAAGATACTGTCGGATTCAACGGGATGACGCTACGTGTCAAAGAGCCAGGAAAACAACGCTGATGTTTTCCGAAGACAGGATTATTTCGAAGGAACTGTGATCATTCAGGTCTCCGGATGAAACAACCGTTGACTGTTCTATTTGTAAGGTTTCTTAAAGAACGCGTGACCCAAAACAGCAAAGAAGCTTGATTTCAACCGTTCTGTCGCCCTCATAACTTCTAAATGTCAGTCACTACGGTTAACTTGGTAATCTACCGTCATGTAGATCATAATATCCTATGTCTACTGAGGACTCCTAGCTTGTGACGCCTTGCGGTCTGGTTGAGTGTCGTCTCCATCTTCACGCTGAAAATTAAGGTGATATGTTTCTCCGAAACTTTGGAAATCATCTACAAAACCACACGGTGTCACAATCCAGAAGACCCATCTCCAGATCTTCACCGCCGCGAGGACCTTAGATCCCTTATTTCACCATTTGTCCACTACCTTAATTCTCAGATCCAAAATACGAGTATAAACACTAATTATCTAAATGACCACATGGCAAATGTTCACGTTCTGGGTCCACAGATGACGGCGCCTAGGGAACACAGATTCTCACTGTGTCGGACTTTGTGGCTCGTGTGGGCAGTGCTTTTCCAGGCGGCCGTAAACGTAGATTGTCCCCGAGGATACACTGCGCGTTGCATGGCCAACGTGTGGGCTATGTTTGCGCTCATCTTCCTGGCAATTTACACAGCGAACCTTGCAGCCTTCATGATCACACGCGAAGAGTTTCACGACCTCACAGGAATTAACGATACAAAGGTAACAAGCGCGTCACTTACCATTAGTTCAGTGCTTGTGTGATGTCTTTACATGAGATAGACATTACCAGTGCTAGAACCAAAGTGTAGGAAGAACAGTATAGAAAGTTACATTACAACAGTCGTGTGATACAAATTTTGTCTGTAAACCTTTTGTAGTCGTTGGGCCATAATTTACCGATTGAAGAGGCCCACTAAAATTCAACGGGGGATACTGTCTTCATTACTTGCTCCCTTCGTTTCTTCATTTCCTCTGTCCGTCTTCCAGTTTTAATTTATCCTACAAAAATCTTGTCACTCTTTGTTAGATATTTCAGAGTAGTTATCTGTAAATAACTGGAAAACCGCTTGATGGGATACGTGTCTTTTAAAGCTTGATTAAGAAAGAAAAATCTTGCGTCAAAAAAAAATAGTCGCAGAAACTCAAATAAGCAGGCCGATCAAGTGAATCACTGTCCCGAGCTCCAGTATAAAGGGAAGACAGATAATACAATGCAATATTCTCGAAACGCATAAATTAGTGACGAAAGTTTGTTTAAAATTTACTATTGTCCCTAACATAAAAACAAATAATGGGCTGGACACTTTTCCATGTAACTTATAAAGACGCTATGCAGACAGAATGTCAATATTTTATACATTATCTGTCTACTTTCTGAGATAAACAACGGACCGGCGTGCGTTCAATCATTCCCTGAGACACAAGC